CCCCTCGACAGGTTGTGTGTGAGACTTCAGCACAGCAGCAGCAGCAAGTAGGCGCACCGAGGGCTCTCGCGCTCAATTTTCGAGTATATCTGTGTGATAGAATTTAGAAAACACATCGGTGCAAATTATAAGTCTGGTGTTTTTGTGTCCGTTGGTTTGTTTTTGTTTCGTGAGCTGGTTATTAGATACCGCTACACCGAGCCAGAGAATACCTCGCCGCCCCGCCCCTCTCCTCCCTGTGCAGCAAGCAACAGGCGCACCTCGCAAACGGAGGGCGCCCTTACTCGCCACAAATGGGCAATAGAAAACTGACTGGTACCCATGCAAGCACAAAAATGCGTTGGCAGCATTGGTGCCAGCAACTATTTTTGCCGATGCCCATAATCCCGCCCCCACCATGTCGCCTACATCAAAACCCCCAACTGTATAACGTTGTGTGCTGCACTCTACAAACTACGAGTTAACTAACAACTTTTTAGATTTTATTTCACATGCAAGATGACGTCACAGCATCTACGCAAAATAAAATACATATAAAACATATATATAATACTTATAGTATTATACAAAGGAGTAATGATTTAATATAATCTGATTCTTCTACAAACAAGGCTTTCATTCATGCAGGCACGAGAGTGAGTGGGTCAGTGAGACTGTCGTGTTATTTTATCATGAAGCATTTCAAAAAGTTCAAAGTAACACCAAAGTGCAGAGCAGCCTACCTGCGCTCCTGCGTATCTCGATGCTCCTCTGTGAGATCTGCTGCTTTCTCCACACTCTGCTCCTCTCTAATAAAGATTCAGCAGTTTCAGTTTCCTTTCGGCAAAATCAATCCCGAAACTGTGAGGAGTTGCGACATATCACTGCGAAATACTTGGTTACTGGAAACGTCATGGAAAAGAAATAAACAAATAAACGTCATGAGGAAAAAAAGGGAACAACGTTCATTTATTCTTTAAGAAAAACGAGAGAGAGAAAAAAACAAATACAAACAGTTGACATATAGATGCTAAAATCTATTTTTGATACCTAAAGTGTAAAAGTGGAGGTGTTTGTCACACAGGTGGGGCTTTGTGTGCAAAGGACACTCCTCATTTAGCACGCAGGTCATTTAAAAAAATGTTTTTTTAAGCTAAACACATAAAAGCGTCATATCCTCCTCACTGGACAATAAAGAAGAGAGAGGCAGAGAGATAGATGAGTTTATTTATTTTCCATTTCCAGCATGAAGCAAAAGCAATATGTGACAGCAGACTGGGACTGAATGATTTACCACTGACACCCAGGTAGAACTTGCTTCAAACATGGCACTTAAAGAAAAAATATAATAAAAACAAATGCACATATACACAAACCAGTTCACAAAAAATACCACACCCATGTATACTGATGGCTAGCAGTGGCACCATGTTCTTCAACATGCAAACTGAGATAGGGGTGAAGTTCCCCAGTAAACAAACACTCTTTGGTTTGTAGAATTACACAAAACCTTCCCCGTAACTCAAAAAAACTCCAACGTTTGTGAGGTTTTCCTTTGGGCAAAGGAAGCAGATGGTTCTGTGAGGACTGTGCAGACTTTGTCAACTTTGTGCGAATCATTTTTGGGGTTTTGTGAGAGGTTCTCCTTATGGCTTGTGCTTGCTTTTATTACACCCAGATGCTTGTGTTGCTAACCTCCACCTCCCAGTAAGGTTTCCCAAGGATTTTCCAGTAAGATTTCCCCTTGCCTCTTGTTTTTGTACAGAGAAAGTGATCAGGCGGACCGCAGAAGTGTGGACCGCAGAAGCCACCACAGCCCTACAGGACTGTTTTGACAACACGGTTTGGGGTATATTTGCAGAAGGAACAGAATTGGAGGGCCACACACCTCTCATACTCTCATACATACTGAGAGTGTAACAACAACAACAACAAAGACTGTTAAAGTGTTCTCATCACCATCTTCAACCTCTCACTGCTACAGTCTATTATACCATCCCGCTTTAAGTCAGCCACTCCAGTGCCCAAGAAGAACATGGTGAGCTGCCTGAATGACTATCGCCCAGTTGCATAAATGCTTTGAGAAACTTATCGGCGGCCTAACTCCCAGAATATGGGTGATAGAAAACATGAGTACGAGCAATTTTTTTTACATTTTGTTTTGCCGATGCCCGTGACGCCCCCCACAACGATGCCGCCCCAGGCAACCGCCCGTGTCGCCCGTATCAAAAACCGCTACTGCCTGCATCTGAACACAGCCAGTAACCTTTTAACAAGTCAAATTTACTGACAAATTTTGCTGAGACTATCCCGTCCACACAGTCATTGACACGTGACAATGGAAAGAATCCATCTTTGTGACCTGGTTAACTTTACGACAATCGGTGCAGGGTTGAAAGGTCAGATCTGGTTTTTGTACGAGCAAGCATGGGGATGATCAATTTGAACATGAAGCAATATTATCAACATGTACTTCACTTCAGACTTCAGTTGATCCTGTTTTTCCATTGAAGTGTGATAGAAATGCTGCCAAACATTCAACATCAATGCCATACCCAATTACTTGGGTAACCAAGGGGGTGTCAGAAAACAATTAGTGAAAAGAAAGTGTTAGCTTCTTCAATTCTTCCTTGTTAGACTCTGCTAAGTGTCCCAACAAAGCATCCAAGTTACTGAGCAACTCAGAGTTTTTCAGACATCCCTGTAAAATGGACGAACATTCCTCCCCAGTTTCGACCCTCCCACTAACCAACCCCTCTGAAAGAGCTGCCACAACAATTGATGTCACATCCTCTGCACCACATCCAGGAACATCGTAGAGATTTAACAGGTTTACATTAAAAAGTTGTGATTTCTTTCTGCGTTCAAGAGTAGCAACCAGATAATTTTGATCTAACACCTGCTGCAGTACAGAATATGGACAAGTTAATAACAGGAAGCAGTACCAACACTTTGTCCCCTGAACTAAACTCAAGTGTTTCAGCTCTACAGCAAAACTGATTTTTCATCTGTGTTCAGTTGAACTTTCGCCTGTTTTACAGCTTCATACAACCTCCTTCTAAAGCCATTAACATAGTCTGCCAGATTTACAGGAGGTGGGAGGGTCTTCCAGTCATCCTGTAAAACTGCTCCTGGACCCTGAACAGTGTGACCAAAAACCAATTCATATGGGCTGAACCCAGTACTACGTTGGGTGACTTCTTGCTAGCATGAGCCACGGCAGTCTCCCCTCCCAGTCAGGATCCAGTTCTGTATAATAAGCATACAACAAGAACATCAGGGTTTGATGGAATCTTTCAATAGCTCCCTGCCTTTGTGGATGGTTCTGAGGAGAACCTGCTGCACGATAATAGAGGACCAGGTGAAGGGGAACTGTTTGATGAGAATCACAGGTCAGAATGAAGCTTATAATGGTTCAAGAAGCCTTATTCTAGTCACATCTGATCAAGCAAGATATCTAAAAAAAATAACTACGAGAAAATTAGGTGAGTGTTTGTGACAGAAACAAATAAAAGTGCAGTAAAGTCAGAAGTGAATCTTGTAAAGATAAACTGTGGTTATTGGGACACATTTCAACTCAAAGGAGATAAAAGCAGCATCACCTTGTTGTTACTGACACATTCACCTAAATGAGAAATAAATAATAATATCAATTATTATTATTATTAGTAGTATTAATAATAATAATAATAATAATAATAATAATAATAATAATAATAATAATACATTATATGTATATGCCACAAATTTATTTGTGGTAACATCATGACAAAAAAATGCAAAACAAATGTTCCTAAATGACAATTTTATTCATTTCTGTACATCTGATGTCATAAAATATATTACACAAATCTATTAAATGGAATATAGTGACTCCTGAAGACCACAATGTAAGAAGTCTGACAAGCAAAACTACAAAATGAAACAAATGATTGAGCAGATTGAAATAGTTACTAAAAGGATCTGTAAAACAGATCTACAAAGAGCAAGTAAGTAAACATTTTGTTGACACAGTAAGTGATGGACAATCAGCCAAACACAACAAGAAGAACTCGTAATCCATCCTTTGTTATACAATTAAAACAAACAGCATTTATAGTCAGAGCCGTGGGAAGAGTGCTGAGGTGTCTGTGTGTGTGCATGTTTAGACACCTTTTTAGCACATGAAATTGGCATGATGCTGTACTTGTGGGGACCAACAGATCACTCAAGGGGTCAAAATGCCCAAAGCACCTAGGAATAGGTATTAATTTTTCGTGGTTATAAATAATTTTTGGTTTTTTTTATATGAATATGAGTATATGTGTGTGTATGGCGGTGGAAGGGATCACAGCAGAGTTCAAATGTCACAGGCACACAGAGATTTCAAGTACTCAAGTCTTGCAACTCTTAAGAAAGCAGACATTTGATATAACCCTAATTGCACAAAGGTAACTTAACACTTTAGAGGCTCCTGTGGCTTAGTTGGTAAGCCAGGCCATCTGCTATTGGCATAGTTTGTGGTTTGATCCCTGGCTCCCCTGTGTGTCACAGATCCTGAGTCCTGAATTACCCCCAGTACCCCAAGGCTTGTAGTGAGAAAGCAATCTGCTCAAAGTGAGTAGAAAAGCACATACACACACTTATATTATTTACTAAAGGATTCAGATTCATACATACACCAGTCCACGTACAACAAAGTCAAGTGTCCTGTTGCATTCAAGGGATTCATATCAAAATTACTTCTTATTGTTACCTTTATCTAGGTGGATGATTTTAATGCTGCAAACGTGACATAGCACTCAGAGGTTTAGGCTACAAATGTCCAAATAAGGGGCAGTGAAAAAATTGTTCAAAGTGTTTAAAATTTCTGTGAAGACATTTATCCGGGACACGTGAGTGAGTGAAGGAGACCAACAGTGGGATAATCCAAGAGCTTTCAGAGGAAGTTCCTCAGTCTGCTGGTTGTCTGCAATTTGTTTTATAAGGGATTAGAAGATAAATAAAACAAAACTTTAAAAAATAGTGTTTTCATGCTACTGTGATAGGAATTGGCTAATAGCTGATTTTGAAAAATGCACCAGCTCCAGTTACTGGTGATCAGTACGCAACATCATTTGATCATAATATGTCCTAATGTTTTTTCTTAAAGAAACAGGAATAGTGTCTAAAGTGTTTTAACAGCTTTATCTTTAGAAGAGATTTTGTCATTTCTGTCTTTTGCAAAAGGTGTTTCAACACGCATGCTAACAATTGTTTCTGTAAATTCATACATTTGCACTGCTGTATGTAAGACTTAGTTTTTACTTTTCAAATGAAAATAAAAGTGAGAAAATATAGTACATAAAAACCTGAGTCAGGAGATCTTCATCAATGCATGTTATAATGAATAATGTTGAAAATTGGGCAAGCAAATGCCTGGTAGAGAGGTAAGAAAACTCTGTTTAAACACAGAAAAAACATTAAACTGTTACTGCACACCTGGACACATATATTGCTTACCAGTGATGCATTCACTGCACCAGATCCAGTGCATGTGATTACTACTGCTTTTGCACAGCAGTGATAATCAAAGGATTGCTGTTTTTCTCATTTTGTTTCAGATGTGGACTGAAGTATGGAAGGATCTCACCACCGAACAAACACTCAGTAAATGAGAAGATGTGAGACTGAGATGTCACATCGTAAAAGGACACGAGACCTTCCTCATAATCTACAAACACCCCGACTTTCTGAGGTTTCCTTTTAGGTGAAAGGCTCACTGGTGGTGTCGTTAGGGCTGCATATTTCTGATCTTCATAATGTACAACAACCCAGTAACCGTTGTCAGGATTGATTGAGAGTTTCCCCTTGCGGTTTGCGTCACGTCTCGCCACACCCAGATCCCACCCGGGCTTATTCCTGACCTCCACCTCCCAGTATGCCCTGCCAGAGGACAGCCTGTTGAGCCCCAGGACACTTCCAAATACATCAAACCTCTGCAGAGAGTCAGGATCTGTCGACATATTTCCACTATCTTTCACTTTTTTCCCATTATCAGAAATTTCAAGTCTTTGGTGTGCGGTGGTGGGGTCCAGCTTCACGTCCACTGCAGTCAAAAGAACACAAGTGATTAAAAAGATGATTTTATTGTTACAGTACGACCAGAAAGAGATCATCAACAGAAAAAATATAACTCATGTCATACAGTTTCGACACCTCACCAGCTACTTGTATTAACTGGATAAAAAGATAACAAGTGAGAAAATATTAAAATTGGTTATCTTAAAATTATCTTTGCCATTGTTTTCTAAATGACCTTTGAATATTACATAAGAAAATTAGATTTTAGTTTAGTAAACTACATATGAATTTTCATATCTAACAAAAACTTATTGTCCAATTCTGGACAATAAAAACTTTTATTACATCTAATACATCACAAGAGGTTTTTATTTTAAATGCCGGAGTTTAAAGAATCTAAATACCTATACTGTAAGTATCATGGGGATTTTATTTTGAAATCAGTTATAACTTAGGTCAAACATGATAATTTCCCAAAGGATTTTTTCCAATAAGAAACTGAGGCTCCATCCTTTCAACATTTGAGCCGCACCTGTTTCCTTCTGTTAGTCAGTGTCAACATCTGGGACTTGTCTGTTGTCCATCAGTGTGTGTCTTGTGTGTATTTACAATGAAAATGTGGAACAATTGCCATTTCTTTCTATTTTAATACTGTTTTTAATTTGACATACACACCTGCAAATATAGGAATCCTCTTGAATTCTGTGGAAGTAGAAATCTGAGTAAGATGCTGTATATCAAGTATAGATTTTAACACAAGTCATGATGAATCAAAAGACTCACCGATGGGTGAGAGTTTATCCAGTTCCTTGTGAATTTGCTTCATCATGGTTGAAGTCGTAGCTCTCAGTGTGGCAAAGGACAGTGAAGTGTCAACATGTACATTTTTCCAGTTAGAGTCATTCAGGCCTGCTAGAGGAGAAACCTGTATATGTGTGGAGACATCATTAAATGTAATGATTTTAAATGAAGCAGAACTGCCACAGAATAGAAATTAAATGTTTCCTCTTTTAAGTGCTTTTATGCTCCAGTATTAAAAAGACCAGAAGATGGACTTCAGGACCTTGTGGCTCACCTCCAAGTCTGGGTTTTTGATTGACTCATCAATGGCCTTTTTGAGCACATCAATTTCTCTCTGAAGCTTCTGGAGGAGATCCTGAGTGTCTCTTTTTACTTTCCGTCTCCTAGAGTGTGCACAGGAGAGCCTGTTTTATTCAAATGTACTGCACCATAGCAACACAAAGGATCTCCGTGGTGATGTTAAGCTGTTCCTCACTGATGAACTAAGAGACTAACTGCAACATAATCTCACAGGACCAACCTTTCCTCCAGAGGCTGAAGGGCTTGCTGCCGAGCATCCTCCACAACTTTTATTATGTCTGAGAAGAAATCGTTGACTTCCAGCCACTCTGCATCCAAACTAGCCTGAAAGCCGTCAAACAGAGTGGAGGATTTAGAGCAAAGATATTAAAGCAAACAAAACAACAAAACAAAAAAGTCAAACATATGTTACAGTCTTTACCTTGCAGTCTGTTACTGATGATCTGACTTCTGCCATTTTATGCTCTCTGATATGAATTTGTTGCTGTAAATGAGCTTTCAGTTTTTCTCGTTTAGCCTTGAAAGAGGACAAAGGACACGTATAATATTTACAAGTTATAATGAGATTTTAAAAAAAGAGAGTCGACAGTTATGCTGAGATTTGCTGGCACCAGAGTTTTGTGTTTTTCAGGTTTGCGAGCATTTTTTTTTTTTTTGCCTGTATTTGTATAGCGCTTTTAAAAGAGTTCCTGCTTTGAGCTTGTACCAGAGATGATAGCACACATGAAGCATGTCACTGGACACTGCAAATGTTAATGTAATGGTGGATAAACAATCCAATTATTAATCAACCTGGAGAACTGAGCTGGAAAATGGTTTCTCATAAACCTGAATTCTCATAAACAGCAGTTCCTCTAGTGGCCACTGGAGGATGGCTCCGAAAGTGATTCAGTCCCAACAGACAGACTCTAGTGTCAAAATGCCAGGCTAAATAGGATTAAAATACATGTTTAAAACCAGGTACAAAACTACAATAGTTGCCCCCTTCCTAACAGTTTTACTGTCAAAAAATTGGCTATATGATCTATCTATGTGGATATTAATAAAGGCCCAAAGTTAGGGGTGTGGTGGCTTTGACTGAGCTGTATGCAAACACAGAGCTTTCTGTTTAAGACTGATTGCTGCTTACTGAGCTCTGAGCTGTGCCAACCATAAGCTACAACAAGAGCAACAGAGCGCAAGGGTCAACTTTGACCTCACGCTCAAACAAAGAAGGTCAAGGTAAAATGCTTAGTCATCCTAGGTGCTCATGTCCTCCAAGGCCTATTGTAGTGAAGTTCTGTTCACCAAAATGAAATCGGCTGGAGCTGTTATTGGTATCAAACATCACACAAAATTTGAAAATGATATTGAAAACTAACATCTTGCTAAGAAACAGAAAGACAGGCAGACAAACAAACAAATGGAACTCGTTACATTCTCTTTACCTTTGGAGGAAGAATGAAACTAATGTTTACGTAGTTTTACTTTGAAGTCAGCAATGAATCTGTTGAACGATGCAGCCAAAGGCCTGTTAAATTCTTGGCAAATGAGCAAAATGATGCCTTTGGCCACCTTGTGCTCTTTATGAGGAGATTTATTTTGGCTTCATAATGTATACTTCAGTATGGGTCCATTTTACATGCATCTGAATGGTCGTCCTTAAGAAATATGCAGTACCTGCTGTCCACCAATAGAAAAGTCCAGAACTCGGCGAGCTCTGGAATCTTCAAGTTCAGTAGTTAGACGAGAGCGATGTGGAGTCTCAAAGACTGTAGAGAAAGAAGACAGTCACTGTAAACTGTTCTATGCCTGTTATCAGTTATAAATGGTTTAAGCGTGATGTTGGGGTCACTATACTGCTAAAATACATAAAATGCTGAAATACATCAACAGTTACTGTAAACTGGGATGATAATAGAAGTTTTAGTGAGGACATTTTTTCTGGTCCTACATCAGCACAAATGCTGTACCATCGGTGCGCTCACCAGAACTCTTTAAGTCATCCACAAAAGGCTCTTCTATTTTGATTTGAGGTTCATTGTAGCTCAGTTTATGAGAGAAATTGGATTGTTCACTTTGAGGGATCCTCATTCCCTTTGGCGTGCATCCCATCATTCCCTGGTGAACTCTCAAGCCGTGGTAAGTTGTATATTTGGTCCAACCACAGTGGCAAACCTGAACGTCCATGTTGGATAAGCTGGGAGTCTGCAACAGAATATTATCAACATATTTGTCAGTGAAGCAAAAATGAGCAGCGTATGATTTAAGGATGTAGTTCGTGTCTAATTTAGTTTAACAACATCCTTAACTCTATGTCTATCTTTCCCTAAATTTCACCACACCTCTGGACTCCTCTGGTAAGCAGTTTCTATTTCATCTGTTTCTTTTCATTTTTGTAGGCAGGCGATCAATAAAACTTAAATTAAGAGCTTTATCATTTCTATTTATTTTTTGTGACCATAGTAGTCGTGGTATTAGACTGCATAGTGGCTGTATTTAAAACCGTCAGAAAACTAAGTGTTGTTCCAAATTATTTGAAGTATCGTGCTTTTGTTAACATTTTGAACCAAACTCAGAATGTGATACTAAAGGTACAGTAGTTGAATGGGTTTAATAAGGGTTTCAGGTTACATACTCTTTACCTTTGGAGGAAGAATAAAACTAATGTTTATATAGTTTTACTTTGAAATCAGGAATTAATCTGTTGAACAATGCAGGCAAAAGGCCTGTAAATTCTTAGCAAACTGGCAAAGTGATGTCTTCGGCCACCTTGTGCTCTTTATGAGGAGCTTTATTTTGGCTTGATAATGTATACTTCTGTGTAAGTCCATTTTACATGCATCTGAATGGTCGTCCTTAAGAAATATGCAGTACCTGCTGTCCACCGACAGAAGATTGCAGATAATTACGAGCTCTGGAATCTTCAAGTTCAGTAGTTTGACGAGCGCGCTGTGGAGTCTCAAACACTGTAGAGAAAGAAGACAGTCACTGTAAACTGGGATGATAACAGAAGTTTTAGTGAGGATATTTCTCCTGGTCCTACATCAGCACAAACACTCACCAGAACTCTTGAAGTAATCCACAAAAGGCTCTTCTATTTTGATTTGAGGTTCATTGTAGCTCGGTTTATGGGAGAACCTGGATTGTTCACTTTGAGGGATCCTCATTCCCTTTGGCGTGCATCCCTTCAATCCCTGGTGAACTCTCAAGCCGTGGTAAGTTGTACGTTTGGTCCAACCGCAGTGGCAAACCTGAACGTTCATGTTGATAAGTTGGGTGTCTGTAAAAAAAATATTATCAACATATTTGTCAGTAAAGCAAAAATGAGCGGTGTATGATTTAATGATGTCTAATTTACTTTAACATCCTCAACTCTATGTCTATCTTTCCCTAAATTTCACCACACCTCCACATCCTCTGGCAAGAAGTTTTTCTTTCATCTGTTTTCTTATTACTGTTTCTCTTCATTCTAATAGCCAGGTGATTAATAAAACTTAAATTGAGAGCTTTATCATTTTTATTTTTATTTTGCTTGTGACCATAGTAGTTGTGGTACAGGCTGCATACTGGCTGTGTTTAAAACTTTCGGAAATGTAAGTATTCTTCCAGATTATTTCAAGTATTGTGCTTTTCTTAACATTAGGAACCAAACTACTTGTACAGTAGTTTACTGGGTTTAATGCGGGTTTCAGGTTAAAAATAGCTTTTTCGGTGCAATGCTGTCATAGTTACTAACACAGATGTCCTTATATCAGAAATACATATCCATATGAGATTAATGAGATATTTATTTATTTCTCTAGCCAAATGAAAACAGGAAGTTAAAGAGTTCTGTCTCAGTAAGATTACATTGTGATTACATCAAGAGTGACCTGGGCTTAAGATTAAACAATATGCAACATGATTGACCTAACATGTCTGTGTAGTGTGTGAGGAAATACCCACCCGGGCACAGGGAGAACATGCAAACGCCACACTGTCCCCAGCCTGAATTCAAATCTAAGACCCTTATACAGTGCGACAAAAGTACTATTCAGTGGTTCATGTGTAACAGTGACTGTTACACATGAACCGTTTGGAGTTGTGTTGCATAAGTTTGTGTCTAATCCCAATCAACTTGGTGTAGGAGAAAAAATGAATGTTTATGTGTGGTTATAGTGTACATGATGTTTAGTCAAATATAAATGTACAAAGACATGGGTCATGTACATAGGGGATCTACATAAATGCAATTAGTAATTAGTTTTATTGATGCAGGTCACCATAAAACATTCATTTATGGTTATATCATGTCTCTTTATATAAACCATGCGTGAAGAAGGGGGAAGTGACATTTTCCTTTGCACAGCACAAACACTCACACCATGTCTGCTCTGGACTAGAAGGAGTTAAAATGACTCTCCAAGAGCAGTATTTGTATTTCAGGTTGGATTTGTTTATTCCTGCCATGGAAAGAAAAGCAGCCTAGTGGAAAAAGTCGTTTGAGCACACAGTGCAGGTTGTAACAGCTTCCTTATCTTCAAACGATCGACGTGTAATTAACTGGAGTTAAGTTTGTGCCTATATAACGTTGTGTGCTGCACTCTGCAAACTATCAGTTAACATCAACTTGTTAGATTTTAATTCACACACAAGATGACTTCACAGCATCTACACAAAATAAAATTCATATAATATATAATATTATACGAAGTCGTAATATTTTAATATTATCTGATTCTCCTTCACTCATGCAGGCACGAGAGGGAGTGTTAGTGAGACTGTCAGGTTATTTTGTCATGAGACTTTTCAAAAAGTAAACACCAAAGCGCTGAGCAGCCTACCTGCTCCTTCGTGTGTCTCGATCCTCGGCTGTGCGATCTGCTGCTGTCTCCAAACTTTGTTCCTCTCTGGTTCAGTTTCAGTTTCGTTTTTTTCCATATTAATCCCGAAACCAGCCCTTTAAATTCAACTGTAAGGAGTTGCGACACGTCACTACGTAATACTCGGTTACTGGGAACGTCATGGAAAAGAAACAAACACACAAACGTCATGAGGAAAAAAAAAAGGGGAAAAAAGAAAGAATAACGAGAGAAAACAAATACAAACACAGCTGACATCTTCCTGATCCTGATATTTTGAATATTTTTAACTGATATTTTTTTATAACAGTATTTAACGTAGCTTACAACAGTAGCACAATACATATTAAAACAAGCTTCCGATAAAAGCCGTTTAATGTGTAAGACAGGCAGTCAAGGTGAAGTCATAATGAGTTTAATCAGTTAATTAGTTTTTCATGCCGACACTTTTTTTCTTGGTTAGAAGTGGATTGTTTTTTACCAATACTATAATCCCCCCAAAAATCAAAGTTTAAAACTGACGGGAAGCCTGATGCGATCTTTTACATGACATCAGTTAGAACGATTAGGTGGGTATTTAATGTATTTAATACTTTTAGACAGTAAAGTGTAAAGGAGAAGGTGGGGCGCAAAAGACACTCCTCATTTAGCACGCAGGGCTTTTTTTCATGCTTTTCATGCTGAACACTAATAAAAGTGTAGTAGCTGCACTCTGTAATTGTCATATCCTCCTCACTGGATGATAAGGAAGAGAGAGACAGAGAGATAGATGCGTTTATTTATTTTTCATGAAACAAAAGCAACATCTAGGCTTATACATGACAGCAGACTGGGACTGAATGATTTACCATTAACACCCGGGCAGAACTTACGCATAATCTACCAAACATGGCACTTAAAGAAAAAATATAACAATAAGAACTGCACATATACACAAACACCCATGCATAGTTACTGATGGTAAGCATCTTCTTTAACATGCAAACTGAAATAGGGGTGAAGTTCCCCAGTAAACAAACACTGTGGTTCGTAGAATGACGCAAAACCTTCCTTGTAATCCACAAAAACTCCAACGTTTGTGAGGTTTTCCTTTGGGCAAAGGAAGCAGGTGGTTCTGTGAGGACTGTGCAGACTTTGTCATCTTTTTGCGATCACCCAGGAATCATTTTTGGGGTTTTGTGAGAGGTTCTCCTTACGGCTTGTGCTGGCTTTTATTACACCCAGATGCTCGTGTTGCTAACCTCCACCTCCCAGTAAGATTTCCCATGGATCAGGCAGCTGAGCCCAAGCAGATTGCTGAATTACATCTAAGCCTCTGGAGCTTTCTGCTTCTCTTCTCTGGCTCTCACTTGCTTCCCTGTGCCCGGATCCAGCATTATATCCACTACAGTTACAACAAAAACAATACATCTGTAAATATAACAATGCCAGGAAACAGGAATCATACCTGCAATGAATGCAAATGAGACGTGATCAAACTGTTTTTACTTTTTTTTTTGGTCCCCCTCTCCAGGCCATTAGGGGGCACCCAAAGGGCTGACACATTTTAAACTACATCAGTAGTAATGTGAAAAGTTTACAGTGACAGTAGGCAAGACCTGACCTCCCTTAGGGGGACCAACCTGCCTCCACTCATGCTTGTTGCAAGTGGCACACATAATTCTGTTTAAACAAACTCCATGACAACAATGATGCAAACAAATAAATGTAAACGAAAGGATTCATCCTTCTGAGAATAATAAGAAAGAAGGAAAAAGAGGATGAGGGGAACAAAGCAACAACAGTAGTGACGGGGCACTGTTTAAAAAAAGCTTTAAGTTTGGAGTTGCAGTAACAGCACCGCTTGTTAAAAGCTATAATAATATTCCATGGTCTTCAGCTACCTACTTGTTAGCTTTCACAGTTAAAAACAACCAAACCAAAACACAGTTACCTAGCTGCTAACACAAACCACAACTGCTCTTTCATATTAAAAGCATCAGAAAATGTTAAAAAGGATTTTATTTTGAAACAATAAGACATGTTTGAAACTTGAGTTTCCACATTTCCAGCAAATCAGCTGCTAATCGAGCACTGGCTGCAGTTCCAAAACTCAGGACTAAAAGCTTGAGGAAAAATCTGAAACAGATATTTTAAATATGAAATGTGTGCCGTACCTTTGAGTGGTTTCGATCCTTCATGTCTGGGTCTTTCTCTTTTTGATGATCTTTAGTTTCCCTGGCTGAAAGCTTCTGGATAAGCAGCTTCACCTGAAAGATAGTAGGCACTCAAGTATCCATCGAATTATCACCCAACCATGGACTTTGTGGTAGAGGTGGGCGGATCCAACTAAATATCGATGGTATGAATACCAACGGTGGTATTGGTATCGGATCAATACTTGTGTGATAGGATTGTTACTTTGTTACTAATAGTGTTGAATTTTTTTTTTTCTTGGAAATGAAAAAAAAAACCCTTGAACATGCAGTATGAAACATGTCTGAACCTTTTTGTGTTGACTACACATCTATTTTATTGTTAGCTTACAGCACAGCGACCCAAAGTCCTTTAGAGATGTCTCCAAAATAATCCAGTTTCAGAACACATGAAAACCCAAAAGGTGTGTTTTGTTAACTCATTATTGTACAAAATAAAAATCACAATGATTTAGTGTCCAGTAAAATGTGTTCACAATGTTTCAATTAGTGATGATTAAGCTCATAAATCATGAGACACTGCTCTCTCCTACATAAGCTGCCTTTATAGGTTCAAAGCATCAGTATTGGCAGTACTAGTATTGTATTGGATCAATAGCAAAATTTGTGTTATTACAAAGCACTACTTTCTGATTGGTGTCCAAATGGAGTCCCAGACGTGTTCTGGTCTTATAGAATTGGGGAGTTGGAAGAGCTACAACAAAAGTCCAGTTTACTTTCTAGCAGCTGCTTAACAGACGGTCATTTTGTCTTTTGATAAAAAAGGTCAAAGTCAGCAGTAAAGATGATAAAACAACATCTTCTTTCCCACTTATGCCACATCAGGTCAGCCAAAGGAGAACATGAAAGCTTCACACAGAAAGTGTAAAACTAGAAAACATGTGCTAACCCCGGCACAGTTGTGCTATCTCAACATGACTTTTAGCTCTTTTTTTAGACTTCTTGGTCAGATTGTGGTGAAGTCAGCGCAAAACGATAGAGGAAACAGAATTTGTTAAAAACTAAGAATCACCCTCTTTGGTGGTTGCATAACCCAAAAAGGGAATATATGTTTCTGTTTTCACTCATACCAAGAATATCATCGGAAGAAAAACCAACACTTCCTGCTTTAGCAGCATTTCCTGCTTCACCCCTCTACACCCTCTACAGTACATACCACATTATGCTCTCTGCTTTCTAAATGACATTGACTGTGGTTTGCCCCGTTTGCAGGTTTCTGTTCTTCTCTCCGTTTCTCTTTTAGTCCGATTGTTTTCTCCTTTGTTGTATTGGCTGAAAACATCCGGGCCAGATCCTTCACCTAAAATGCAGCAAGCAATAAGAACTGAAAACAATCAAGCAAAGAAAACAGATGAAACCTCTCCTGTAGTAAAGAAACACTCAGGTGCAGCAGCTGCAGTGAAACAAGCTGTCAGGTCTGGCTGAACGAGTGTCAGACGTTTTTCTTGCACAGGAAGTCGTACCTTCAAACCAGAAGAGAAATCTGAGAGTGGTGCATTTTCACACGCTGTAGAAAAAGATGATAGTAATCATCAGCCATGTTTTTTATTGTATTTTTCTCAATTTTACATATAAACATTCTCATATTGTGACTTACATATTTTGGGATCCTTCTCCACTGTTAGTGATGCTTTCACTGCTGCAGAATTGATTTCAATGGGATCGCTTTTTGAATCTGTCACCATCTGTCAGAAAAGGTGGATAATAGTTTATAACGCATGAAGAATTTCAACACAGCTCCCTGTATTTGTCTCCTGTGATATATTGCAAACATATATGATATATGTTTGCTTCATGATGGATTCATCTAGCTCATGCTTTTCAGTGAAACATGCTCGCAGAGGGGCACGGTTCTGGCTCAACTGCAGGAGGAGGAGTGGTGCAGTGCGGTGCAGAGAGTAGGTGGAGTATTTGGGACACTGGCTGTGCATTCCCTAATTAACCTGTGCTTATTAGGCAGTTTGCCCAGACCTGGAGATGGACACATGCCCACACAGAGGTGCTGTAGCTGATCTGCATACTTGACAGTGAGAAGCAAGAGCCACTGCTTTGAGAGAGAGAGCACCCTGAGGCCGGGCGCATCGAGAGTAGCGACTCTTTCCTGTTATAAATGTGTGTGTTCTGTAAATAAAGAGTGCGTGCCTGATGATGCTGCATCGACACGGACACAAGGTCTTGAACTACAGAAAGAAAAACAATGAACTCCAACATAAAAACTTTAAATGTAATATTTTGCTCAACCAGCAGCTTGAAGCTAAAACAGGATCCACTCATGAGTTATTTGGGTACTTCAGGCTGGATCAAAGAACTAAATGACTTTTCCACTGATGGAGGAAAGGCAACAGATCACTCGCCCTGCACCTGTGTGGGTTTCTGCTCCTCCCCGTGCTCCTCCTTTGCTTTGGCTGCTGTTTCCTGGGCAGAAATGACTGAAAACCTTTGAGCCAGCAGTTTCACCTGAAAGATATTGAACATATTAGAAAGCCGTGATTCATTAAATGGTGTTTGGGGTGGGGGGAGGGGTGGGGGGTCATCGTAGACATGATTAAAGATTCTATATTTTGTGTATTTTAGCCTTCAGGCTCGAGCACAGGTGTTGGTCCGTGATCATGATCATGTCCCATGTTTTACATATTTGGCTCCTCCCATTAACGTATGTGTGGGTTTGTGTTGACTGTTGAGACAGGTGGAGACTGCTGATTGGCTGCTTTGAGTGCGTATTTGATGACTGGATGGACAGCAGCCTCTCAACCTCCAGCTGGCAGCCAGCAGAGAGCCAGCTGTTAACTGGGATCTTGAAATGTGAGGACTGAGCAGCAGTGAGGAATTGATTTGAGAGCTGAGAAGTTGAGAGAGCATTCTGAATTCTGTTTTCAGCTGAGTGCATTTAGGAAATAATGAATTGTAAATAAATAAATTGCTGTACATATTGAGCACCTCAAAGCCGTAAGATCCTTTTTTTCCTCCTTTTCCCCCAGTTGGAAACCAAGGTTAAAGGACTGTCAGCACTGCTCTTTGCGTGAAAATTGTAAAAAATAAATTGCAGAAAAGGTTCTGGTAGCATAATTCACAGACCTGTCTGTAGTTATAAAATAAAAAGTTAAAAATATATGACCTCCTTCACGTTTTCCAAAAACATCCAGTGGGCCAGATTGAAGTCTTTGCCAGGCCCATACAGGACCCTGGCCCTTATGTTTGACAGCCCTGTTCTAGGTTATCCCTAACTTGGGGATGTACTACAGGATATAAGAGGGTGTTCTACCTGAGATGGTTTTTGGTTGGCTCCGTGTTTCTCCTTTGTTGAAATCAGCGTTTCCTTGGCTGAAAACATGCAGGCGAGTTCCTTCACCTGAAAAAACATCCATAGCGACAACCAAACTCAAGCATTCCCATCAGAACGCTCTGCAGTGTCACAACTGTGAGTGAGAGATATGCAAGACTCTGTACCTTCACACCAGTGGAGAGTTCAGCCTCTGCAGCGTGATCCACTGCAAACACAAACACAACAGCTACATCATTGAGCATGAATGCATTAGCCTGAAATCATAGAGGGGCACCTCAGTGTCAACTATATATATGTTTAATTTTGTGTAATAAGCTAGGATATTTATAAGTAGAGCTATTTTGTTATATGTTGTAATATTTCATTTAGTTGAGTTAGTTACTCTTACTGTCTTGGGGCACATCATTTCCTGTGGGATTAATAAAGTATTCTGATTCTGAATGTTTATCGACTGAACCATACGATCACATACACTGTGTTGGATTGTCCTTCGGTGAGACGTCCGCTGCTGCAGGACTTGTTTGTGTGTTTGCACTCATTACATCTGAAACGTTCTGTCAAAAAACGAGAGGATCGCTGTTAAAATTTGAGACATTTCAGAGTACAAACTGTATCTCAAACATTTGTAAGATGTTTTCAACGACAATGCTTAAAAAGTCTTAGATTAAAAGTTCAAATGTAGCTAAACTAATTAGATTAATTCTGATCAGGTGCCGTTGGTGACTACATGCTACAGCTTCCTGTTTACCTCTGGTCTGCAGGCTCTGACTTCACAGTTCTTCCCCTCTGTCATCTGAAGTTTTGGCTGTAATTCAGCTTTGAACCTCTCCAGCCTTTCCTTGAATAAAGCCGAATGCTTCTTCTTCGGCGGGACCGGAGGTGGTGCTGTCGGGTGGTCTCTGGCTGATTTGCTTGCCTGGAGGTTTAAAATTGAAACATTTGCCGTAACGTTCAAAACAACCAGAAATAAAGTGAATGAATAAAATAATGTTTCTAGTATACGTCACAAGAGGCTCGATTTTATAAAAGAAAGGACTACACTGGCTTAAAAACATGCATAAAGCTCATTCATCACTTAAAGGGGGAGCTATTTTTTTTGTTACAGTGGTGGATGTTCATTGTAGATACGGTTGAA